TAAATAATTATTTTATATATGCAGGTACTTTCAATTCGTAGAATGAGGAAAAAGATAACTAGTAGACTGATCTTGTTTTTCTTTTTGCATGCAAACAGAAGGAACGAACAAATCCAAGGATGATCCAATCATGCATACGCACATGCAATGTCTTCAATTTACTCAATATTTCTCTTTTTTTCTTTTCTATTGCAAATATTTCTCGAGTTTTGTCCTAATTTACCAGAACATCATGCATTCAGTGACGAGCGGCAACTCGAAACAACACATTGTACATAATCGATTTCAATTCACTTCAATGCATTCTCTTCCTTTTTTTTTCTTGTAATTGATTAAGGAGAAGAAGAACGCACTTGTAGTAGTAACTATTAGATCACTAACCTTGATAATCCGTACTTTATTATTAGTGTTATTTCTTTTTTTTTTTTCTTCTTTCTGTTTCTCATTTTAAAGATTAATTAAAATAAAACATACCGACGAACAATGAATATATACAATAGTTGAATCATGAGAATCAATCGCAGACGTTGATGATTACAGAACATAATCGAAAGATAAACGACGGCATCGGACGGATTCAGATGATGACTATTGACATCAATAGCCAATATACAAAGCAAATGTATTGAATACAAACATATGACGGTTCTTGAAGTAGTCTTTTAAGTTATACAAGACTTTATCGACATACAATTCTCTAATCTTGATCAGCTGCAGGCAATTCGTATGGTGTTGGTGCGGATGATGAGTGTGTTGTTATCGCTGTCGTCGTTGTTATTGTTGTTATTGTTGTTAGCAGTACTGTTCCAACTCCGCCCAAAGATGACGAGCACATTTTCTCTCGCTTCCAAAGTCAATCCATCGTTTTTTCTATTTTTCTTCTTTTCCAGGTTTACATGTTTATTGCTATTTTTTAGTTTCTTTTTCTCTTGACGACAACGAGTTAGAACAAGAAGAAAAAAGAGAAGGACAAAGAAGAAAAGAGAGAAATATAATCATCAATCCTTCCCTATAATCAAATATATTAAGTTCATTCTATCACTGTCTATCTATCTCTTCCGTTCCGACAATTTCACAAACATTGCTTATCGATCGCCGGCGAGCGTTGTCAATGCGCCTCATTGATCCAAAGGCAGTTAGCTTCTTTCGATCAATCTTATTGATTAGACATGTAAACCCAAAGATATAAAGAAAAAAAATAGAGAGAATAAACTAATGATTCTCGAAACACAAGCATTGAACTTATCTATATTAGTTATCGATTCAAAGCTGGATTTTTAGGGACTATTATAAAAGAAACTTAATAAAATCTTATAGAGATTGTCAAGCGAAAACAAGACAAGTAGATTCTTTTGACCTAAGAAATATGATATTAGTAGCGTAAAAGACACAAATAATTTTTTATTTTATTTTGACACATATACCACCAAACAGATGAATGATTATTATTTTCGACTGATTCGACTGTCTGTCTTGTTATCATAATTTCTTTTTTGACAAAAAATTAATCGCTTAAATAACAAATTCTTTTTCTATTATAATGCTATAGCGATATACAATACCAAAAAACAAAAACAAAATCAATTATATTCGTTGTCGAATATTTAATAAAGTTTTTCGTTTAAAAGTATTTCACTTGAAACGCTCTAATAAATTAATAATATAATAATACATAGGTGTGATTAAGCAGTTATTAGAATAATACATAGTCGTAATTTTTAGTCAAAGATCAATTGACTTCTTCTCACAAGATCATCAAAAGAATTCTTTTTTTATTCCATAAGTTTAATTAAAAACAAACAAGAAAGAATAATAACCGAAATTTCAAATTCTAGCAAAGAATTAATATATTAAGCTTGAGTTTGAGAGATTCAACGTAGAATCTAGAAATAGAAATTCACCCGTACCTGTTTGTATGTAAAATAGTTACATCTGATAACTATGGTACAAGTGACTGAGTAAGATAGCATTAGGATTCAAATTAGTCGAGTAGTATGCCTTTAGAAGTGACGATCGTTATTATTAAATTATTGAATGGTTCGATTGAATCGTTCAATGCTGTAACATGAGTATGTGATGTAATAATTATAAATAGTTAGAGTGTGAGTCCGAAGATATGATTATGATTAACTGAAATCACTATTATTTGCATAATGTGATATTCATTTTTGTTTTGTAATAGACCTATATGAATGACGATAAACCAGAACTTTTTCAATGTCAAGCTATTTACAAAGTAAAATCTTAAGAATAATGTTAAATAACAGCAATGTAACGATTAAAAAACATGACAAAATTGCTATAGACAAAGAAATAACATTACACGTATAAACTGAACTTCATTAGAGAAGTGTAGCATATTCAAAATAGTCTTTTTCTTTATTAAAATTGAGTTTTATATTATGAACAATATGCTTTTGTGAAACAAATCAATTTTATATAGGAAGTCATTGCGTACATCCTTCTACTAAGGGCATACCAAAGTAATGAGACTGAAGAAAAAAAAACGCAGTAACAAGTTATCCAAGATACATTGAAGTCGAATAAATTTGATGTCTTCTGATTTTAGATAGTTCAAAACATCTTTATGAATATGCGATTTGGTATTGTTGTTATGAAGTTTATAAACATTTGTATCAGATGCTAGTCTTCTTGATTGAATTTCGTCGATGAAGGATTCTAGGCAATTGTCGATGGAATAGTGGTAGTTGATGGTTTGCCCTTGCTCAACACAATGGATTAGTACGGGATCAACCGCTTAAAAAGCAAGATACAAAAAAACAAGTTTTTGGAGTTACGAGGCTGTATTGAACCACAGTAGGCGAAGTTTCATCAATTAATATCCAGGCAAAATTCAATGATGTTCTATCAATTTGTTTATCACATAATCGCCACGTTCCTTGTTCAAATTTCACTAAAGGACAGGGACACATAGGACTACCAATCGACTCACTGGATCTTTTGTTCCCAATCAAGTTAAATCGTATATGCGGTGAACTTCTCTGCAACCATATTGTCTTGCGAAGAAAATCCTTTGCATCAATTTGTGGTGGCATGAGCATTTTTGCATATACATTGACTTTAGTTTAAATAATGTTTTGGTCTCAGAAAACCAGTCATGATGAATTAAATAGGAAGAAACTATTTAATGCAATAATCGTTCTTTATTGACAGCAATATTGATTCATCGTTTAAGCAGAAAATTGTGCGAAAGACAGCTATCGTGTTATGAAAACAAAACGACGGAAATATCAACAATAAAAACTCTGCATAAACTATGTTAATACATTTTAATTGCGTAATTATATGCATATACGATTAAATTGTGCTTATATAAATACTATCGACAATCATACTGACTCACAACTATAAAGAGTATTAACAAAAGTAAGTCGTCGATTACCATGAAAAATTAACTTTTCGTCTAAAGCACTGTCTTTCGTTATGTTTTAATATTATTAACGAAGTTCTTTTCAGTTTTAGCTGTTGCTAATACTGGGAAAGATATTATAACTGCATTCAAATCAAGTAGTTTTATCACACCTACACGTATTGTACGATTTGGTTTTACATATTTCTCTTAGAAATCAACAGTGTTAAAAGCAATTGATATATCACCTGATAAAGTAACAGAATTTATTAATGCAACTCAATGACTATACTATAGTGAAAAAACTGATGACATTTTCTTGACATCTAGCATATTTTTATCATTAAAGATCTCTTCATGTTAATCCAGATGTACTCTTCTCATTTAATAATTTTATTTCAACGAAATAAACATGATTTACAACCGAATAAAACCAATTGAGTAGCTTTCAGAATTTCTTTTTTTGGAAATTTTTATCTATAGATCTTGTTGCACAGTTTATCATCAAGAAGAACGAACTAAGCGCAGACAATGTGCTTAAATGAGAATGGGAATGACCTTCAGCATTTTCACTCGGTTTCTTCATGAATGATTGTCTATGAAACCAAGTCGTTGATATCGCATGTCAAATGCGGGAATGAAAAGATTACGTTGAAGTTCTATATAATTATAAAAGAGGACAAAGTTTATTCAACAATAAAAAAATGAAGGAATTTTGTTTTTTTTTGTCCTAAAACATAATATATATCAACTATAATGTATTGATGATCAGGAAATTGATGAAGTTAATTTTGATGCTATGCTAACTAATATGAATTAAAGTTTAGATAATGAATTTATTCATAATGTTTAAACTTAAATTAGAATGTCAAAATTCTTGACGATCATTATTGTTGCACTCAAACTTAGATTAAAGATGCGATATGTATATTCAAAAATTGAAATATAAACAAAATTCACAGCAAATCTGCTTGTAAGATTCTATTTTTGATCTCCCTTTTTGTTGTGGATCTCGGTTTGTTCTTTATTTGCTTGAAATATATCTTAGTCGAGACTTGTTTGGGTAGTAATATCTGTATTCTTTTTTCTTTATATTATTTTTCTGATTAGTAGAATTATCTTGTAAAAATTTTAATATCCATCGAAATTCTTATAATATTAAATTCTAGGCTTTTTTATCATTTTTACTCTTGATCATATGATATAAATGAAAGAAAAAACTGTTCAAATTCAGTTAACTATAGTAGATACTCGTCTAAAGTCGTTGCTATTCTACTGACTTATCTTTTCAATTATGATTGGGAATTAGATTTTGAGTCATGTATCAATATTTGTTAAAGCAAGTCTCGATTTTTTTGCTGAATATCCCTCTCTCACTTTGAGGCAAATACTTTCTCTCTGCTTAGTTCTTCTTGTTTCACGATAAAATGTGTAACAAGGTCTATAGAAAATCCCTGGAAAAAAACTGAAAGCTGCTCAGTTGTTTTTATCCAATTGTATATTATGTTTATTTTCTTGAAATGAAATTATTGAATAAGAAGAGTACAATTGAATTAAAATGAGAAAACTCTTAGTGATAAAATTTCATAGATGTCAAGAAAATGTCATAATTTTTTTCACTATAATATAGTTATTGAATAATTTTCTTTGTATTAATAATCGAATTGAATTGTGAACAGGTGACATTGGAACCTATTGTAGAAGCTAAATTACCTATAGCTACAAACATAAAAAATTGCTGTAACTTGATAACTTCATCCGTTGTTAAAGCATGTGGAACATTTTGTATTGATTGTTGATTGCTTTCGAAAATGTGATCTAGATAACTTTTTGATGTTAATATTAACAATAAATCAGGTGCTAGTTGCCAATCAGCATTAATATCAACAGTGAAAAATGAAGCAGTACACGTCATTGACATTCTTGTGTTTTCATATCTTTCATCAGATCAATTTCAATGGCGTGATATCCGTCAGTAAAACAGTCAGCCAATCAATGATAAGAGGAAGTAATACTCTTGAAATGAATTGTTGTTCCTTCATTTAAATATCATGCCCCCAAAATGAATATCTTTGTTTTTCAATCCTTATCGATCTCAAACACATGGTCTCTAGTAGTCCATATCCACCACTACGTTGGAAAAAAGCTTCATAATAATGAGAACAACATCCATTCTGTTATGCTTTTTCGAATCTTCTCTTTCTTTCTATGACGATTCGTTCGTTTCGTTTTTGCTCTTTGATACAGATGCACATCTTCTACACTCTTGAAACGAAAGATAAGATATCCTTCAGTAACAAACCAAACATACGTCAGCAACAATCCACCAAGAAAAGTATCAACAAAAGAAAGAACAAACTCTGTCGAAGGAGATGAACGAGTTTCTTCACATCTTCTACCTCTGACACATATTCACTTATTAATTGCTCTAATTTATTGCCATTCGATGATGACTAGCCTTTAGATCAAAGTCCCTCATTCAAAACTATATTTCTTCATAAAAACATTGTCGTTACAATGTTTTACTGTTATAGTCTTTGAAAAAGCATGACGCTAGCAGATGGATCTCTATTCTTTCACTGAGTCATTATGATGCATTAATGATCTGGGTTTGAATATGATAGAATCAATATATTCACATTTACAGCCACAGCAACATCCACAGCTTTACTTTTGAAGCCAGGCTACATCCTTGAGTATCAACAAAAAAAGACATATATTAATAGTTGAGAAAAAAAATCGTCGTGAAAGAAAATTTTCGTTTAAATAAAGAATCTTTCTCTTTAAATAGCATTCATTGATTCATTTGTGATTTCAGGTTGACGATTCATACATACATAAAAACGCATATAATTTATTCACATTACACACAATCAATTTAAAGAATATGGATTGCAGTATACCATCACCTGTATCGAAACATGATCATCGCATTGATACGAATGATATTGTTCAAAATTTTCTTTTCATTTGGCTTGACCCAAAAATCGATGAGTTCAACGACGACTATCTGAACTCTATCAAGCAACTACGACAAACAGTCAATACCATTGAAATATTTTGTGATACAGAAGAATGTATCGATTATATTTCAGAACTTCAAAACGAAACGTCATTTCTTATTATTAGAAGTACTTTGTGCCAAATGGTTGTGCCACTTATTCATAACATGACACAACTATATTCAATTTATGTCTTTTGTCGAAAAGAAGAAAAGTATGAAGACTGGACCAAGCACTGGTCCAAGGTGAAAGGTATTTTCAGTGACATCACTTCAATTTGTGACTCAATTTATGAATGCGCTCGACAATGTGATGAAGATTCAATCGCAATTAGTGCTGTATCGTCATTAAATCAAATCGAACCATCATTTATGTATACAAAATTATTCAAAGAAATCATTCTTGAAATCAATTTCGATGAAAAAAAGGAAATCAACGATTTAGCTGAATATGCTCGCGAGAAGTATAAGGGCAACTGTACACACTTAGAAATTATTGATGAATTTGCTCAAGAATATCAAGGTAATTTCGATCGAAAAAACAAGCCTATTTGGTGGTACACTCGGAACTGTTTCACGTATCAGATGCTAAACAGGGCACTGCGTACTTTGCAAGTCGACACGCTGCTCAAAATGGGCATCTACATTCGAGCTCTTCATCGAAGCATCAAGAAGCTTCATTTAGAAGAATTGAATAAAACCCATGGTGCACCAATAACACTCATAGTCTACCGAGGTCAAACTATGGACAAAAAAGATTTTGAAAAAAAATCAAACAAGGTGGACTAATCTCGTTCAATAATTTCTTATCAACAAATGACGATCGAAAAGTAGCCCTACGTTTCATCTCCAAACAACTTCACTCCACTGACAACAATACAATTGGTGTTCTCTTCGAAACGGCTATTTATCGATCCATTTCATCGGTTCCGTTTGCCCGCATCGACCAATTTAGTTACTACCACAATGAAAAAGAAGTACTATTTTCAATGCACACGGTTTTTCGTGTCCAGCAAATCAAGGACATCGAAGATAACGGAAGAAGGTTGTGGCAAGTAAAACTGATACTTACCACTGAAAATGACGATGAGCAGCTCAATACTCTTAGCCGACGAATACGAGAGGAGATCAATGGAGCAGGATGGGAACGAATGGGTTTATTGTTATCGAAATTGGGGGAACATGACAAGGCAGAACAACTATACACAATGTTACTTACACAGGCAACCGATGAGACCACTAGAGCAACTTATTACAATATTCTGGGACTCCTCAAAAGTCAACAAGGAAAATATAATGAGGCCGCTAAGTTTTGCCAAAAGTCAATCGAAATAAAAAATAAAATTCACTCTTCGAATCATCACTCCTTGGCTACTTCCTACAACAACATCGGTTTGGTCTATAATAACATCGGCGAGTACGCGAAAGTACTTTCATCGCACGAACGAGTACTTGAAATCTGCAAAAAATGGCACTCTCTTCGAATCATCCCTCCTTGGCTACTTCTTACAATAACATCGGTTCGGTGTATGATAACATGAGCGAGTACGCGAAAGCACTTTCATCGTATGAACGAGCACTTGAAATCTGGAAAATAGCTCTCCCTCCGAATCATCCCTCCTTGGCGACTTCCTACAATAACATCGGTTCCATGTATGATAACATGGGCGAGTACGCGAAAGCACTTTCATCGTACGGCCGAGCACTTGAAATCTGGAAAATAGCTATCCCTCCGAATCATCCCGTCTTGGCTATTTGCTACAACAACATCGGTTCCGTGTATGATAACATGGGCGAGTACGCGAAAGCACTTTCATCGTACGAACGAGCACTTGAAATCTGGAAAATAGTTCTCCCTCCGAATCATCCCGTCTTGGCTATTTGCTACAACAACATCGGTTCCGTGTATGATAATATGGGCGAGTACGTGAACGCGCTTTCATTTCTTCAAAAAACCAAGCGATATCTTCGAAAAATCACTGCCTCCAACACATCGGGACATTGCCCTGAAAAAAAGAGGCATTCAGATTGAAAAAGAGTATATGTAATTTTTTAAAACTAGAAAATAAATTGACTTTCTTGAACTCTTAACTTGCCGAAGCGCAACAGCTGCAACAGGACAGGGGCGCATTTGAGCCTATTTTCGTTCCTTTTGATTTTTCAGACCAAACCTAGTTGAATCATGTATAGAACGAAACATCATGAACTTCCAATCATTTTGATGCTAAATTTAAGTCATTTTTAGTGGATTATAAGTGTAAAGGAGGTCTACCTTCCCTACATACTAAATGACTAGTTCGACCACTGATACTCGCCAACAATGTCCATACTTTTTTGAAACAAAATCAATAGAGATAAATCGTGATTTATATTTATTCTGATAGGCCTTTTCTTAGGCTACATTTTCATGAGAGAACTATTCATTTGAAACAGCATTTTGGTTTTAATAGATTCGATGGAAATCGTTCGTTACTGTATTTTCACCTTATTATTACGCATGCGCATTGGATTTGTAATTCGATTATTGTATTAATGAAAACTACACCCAACTTCGTTCACTTTCTGTTCGATAGTGCTTTTTAAGCGCTACAAAACTAGCTATTTTTTCAACGTCTGAAAATGTGGACCCCTACGCAAAATTCTGAAGCCATTCGTCTTGACCCCCTATTTTCCAGCTTTTTCGACTTATATTCGTCAGTTTTCGCTTAGAATAGTCCCCATTTCACTTCAAACAAATCTCATGTTTGGAACCAGTACAAAAATCTGAGTCAACCTATATGTGTTTCAAACATTTTCTTCGATTTTTTTTTCGGTGCAATTTTTAGCTCTGGTCCCTCTAAAGGGATACAAAAAAGTGATTCTAGTCAAAAGAACTATTTTACTGTTTTATGGTACGTCTTTCTATCTTACAATAACATCTGCCATCATCAGTTCTTCTTTTCTACCTTCCAAATGATTTTTTCACGAGAATCATGTTTTCGCATATCCCTGAGAGGGACCAGAGCTAAAAATTTCACGGAAAAAAATCGAAGAAAACGTTTGAAACACGTATAGGTTGACTCAGATTTTTGTAGTGGTTCCAAACATGAGATTTGTTTGAAGTGAAATGGGGACTATTCTAACCGAAAACTGACGAATATATCTCCAAAAAGCTGGAAATTAGGGGGTCAAGAAGAATTGCTTTACGATTTTGCGTAGGGGTCCACATTTTCAGACGTTGAAAAATAGCTAGTTTTTGTAGCGCTTAAAAAGCACTATCGAACAGAAAGTGAACGAAGTTGGGTGTAGTTTTCATTAATACAATAATCGAATTACAAATCCAATGCGCATGCGTAATAATAAAGTGAAAATACAGTAACGAACGATTTCCATCGAATCTATTAAAACCAAAATGCTGTTTCAAATGAATAGTTCTCTCATGAAAATGTANTGATTGTCGTACGGGTTTTTTAAAGTATTTTCGCTAGCTATCCATCGGTATATAATTCATTAAGTTTACATCAAATGATAAGTATATACGCCAAGAAACACATGTAAAATTTATTAATCAGGATCCCCCTATGTAATACGTAGAAAATTGAAAATGTGATCGAGTCCTAAGTCAGTCAACATCTACTAAAATCATTTTACAAATATAAGGCATAGTTTCTATCATCATCTTTTTTTATGTCTATACGAAAAAATCATTAAGATTGCATTGGGTTGAGTTCTCAAGAAACTGTCACCTATCCTCTTTGATTTAGATTTGATATTTTCGAATATTGATGTGTAACAGATTGTATTCTAATTTATAGAAGAAACTCATTTTTTAAAATATTATCTACATCGATATTTGTCTGATAAGATCAAGTATTTGTATATAGTTAGTCAAATAAAAAATTTATTTGTGCCCTTATAACTTGGTTTCTGTTAGTCAAAAGTACTCGTCTTATAATTCTAGCTACGATGAGCTCAGGAAGTATATTCCCAAGTGATATATCTGCAAGTTATAGTTAACATGTCAACAGATCCTAGGTTTTGTCATATGCAAATGTCAAATTATGACTATCTCACTTGGTAAATTAGAAAAATTCTAACATAATATTGTTGCTTCCTATTGTATTGAACCTGAAAGTTCCATGCAATTATTGGAGACTTTTTTCAGATCTTTCGACATTGTTCTACTTTTAGGTTTTTGCTGTATCATCACCAAGAGAATGTATTTCGATAAATGACTGAAGTTTAAATATTCAATTATTGAATTTAATTTTCATATTTAACGAAGATATTTGATTTATAATGAAAATAAAATATTAGATCAATAAATAATAATCAGAAAAAAAAATCCAACAATACACATTTCGAACGAACAAATTTCATTATTAATAATTGTAAAACCGAATTTTCTATCCTAGAAATATATTCCTTATTGTTTAGTTTATTTGTCAATAATATTCCAAAACACATTTTTAAAGTCAAAATTATCATAATTGTTACAAGCATAGAAATAAACATATTCAAGTTTAGACAAATCAGATCAAACAATCTTATTATAGAATCTTGTACGACTTTATATGACAATTTTAAATCTACTATTTCTATATGATTTTCCAGAGTTTATCACAACGTTGCTTATAACTGATTTTCTTCTGAAAATAAAAATATGTGCTTAAAAGACATTTGAACAAGATTATTTTTTATTGAATTCGATCGTTAAAATGATCTATAATAATAAAATAAATAATTTAAACAAAAGAAAATCTATTTCAAATTAACCAAATTATCTGTGAAATGATTTTCTAATAGATCAGCATCACTACATAGACGATGTATTTTTTTAATTCTAAAAAAGATATTTAAATGCACGAAACTTTCATTAGCAAAACTCTTTGTATAAGTGCGATCTAAAATGATGATCTTATACAAATCTTATAGTAAGATATGTGTACAATCTCGTAAGACATTTCCATCTAAGAAATCATGTTCCATGAACATGCATAAAATTCATTTTCGATGATTATTGTAAGATATTGAGCTCATTTAAATGAAGAAAAAGAATGTTTAATTATACAAAAACAAAAAATTAAAAGACTTAAATAAAACATTCATTTTATACTATCTATTTTATTCATTTCGAAATAAAAACAAAAACAAATAAAGATATTTAAACAAGACTTTCATCTTGTTTACCCATTGACGATTGTTTTAAACTTGGACGTGGAGCTGGTTTTGGTATATTGTGTAATAAAGAAGTTTTTGTCTTACAAGGTATATAAGTTTTGATTGAATTAGAATTAAAATGTGGTTCTGTTAATTTAACATAAGATTTTGGATTAATAATAGATGACAATTTTTTTTGATCATTATAACTTGGTGGAATACGATCTGGATTACTTGATGGTGATGATTGTTGATTAGATTTTTTTAATATTGGTTTTGGTGTAGCTACATCCGTTAATAAATGATCAGATAATGATGAAGATGTTGATGGAGATGTTGTTAAAGGTTTTTTAATATTCTCATTTTGTGATTGTTTTGTTATATCACCTTGTGAAACAGATGTTATAAAAACATTAGAAAAACTTAATATTGGTGGTGGTTTGCCATTTGATTTCTTTGTTGTTATTTTTGATTTTGTATTCGTATCAATTGATGGTAGAGTATCGGAATGTTGTTTGTTTGTGTTTTGATCTTCGAATGATTTTTCTGATGATGAATGTTCTACACCTGGTGAAAAAAATACAAAAAGAAAGATATTGATTATTTCAAGTTTTAATTGAAAATCTTTTATTTACAGATTTCATTTAGTTAGATATATTATCACGAAGAAAAAATGTCTATTTGTCATTTTATATTGCATAAAAAGATGCGCTATATCGACTAATCTAATTATGTAATTAATTTTATACGTAAAATGTTAATGTATATAATAAAAAATATCACGTGAACAGAACAAATATAATTACTCAAAATGCTAGATATATCAAAGTATTTGTCAAGTACGTTTAATTGCATAGTTTAGATTCTATATCAATTTAATTAATTGACAAAAATTTTGTATTTGACTTTCATTAAAAGAAAACTTTTCTATATTAAATTATAAAACATTTTTCTTAGTACTCAATTGGTTAATCAAAAATGTTGAGTTTTTAAATATTTATAAGAAATATTCTATTTCTCTAAAATTAGAGTACTCGAGAAAACAGATACTCCATGCTTTGTCTTAATATGTTAGAGACAAAAAAAATGTAAATTGAACATGTTCTAACTAATTGAATTCATAATTAAGAACATCAGTCAAAACCATATCTATTCATAATTGAAAACCTAGCAAAAAAAAGTTCCTATTAATCTGTGTCTGTGTACTAGTTGTCATTATTTAATGTAACATCGATAAATGTAATATTTTTTTTTCAAACCATATATTCGGTTTTTTTCTCGAATATCTTATTTGAAAAATACCTGAATCATTATCATTGTCATCATCTCGTCCTATTTTGTTTCGATTTTTAATCATTGGTAATTTCTTTGGTAATGGTGGTCGTGGTTGTTTCTGTTTTTGATTAACAGCAGCAGTTATAATTGCTTTTCGTTTTTGATTATATTGTTTAGTACGTAAAAGATCAGGTTCACTATCATCAGTTTCAGTTTTTTCACTTTTTTCTGATATAGCTGATAATTTTCTTGATACTTGTGGTTCATAAGATGGCGCCGAAATATTATTGTTTATTGATAGTGATGGTGGTGGCGGCGGTGGTGGTGGTGGTAGAATCATAGCAGCATCTTGTACTCGTCTATTTGATGATTGCGAATCATATTCATTAAGTACAATATGTCGTTTTTCAATATATTCATTTTCATGATTAGTTATTTTATCCTGATTCGTCATTGCAGATGATAGAAGTATTTTCTTTGGTAGATTATCTGTTGATGATGATTCAAAACTTGATGAATGACGCCAATGAGGAGATCCATTTATTAAATTAGAATTGTTTTTTGGATGTTTTTGTCTATGTTGTTGATATATACAAAGAAATGAATAAAAATAGATAACAATAAGTAATTTAATTAAACTAAACAATAATAATATCCAAGCTAATACATTCATAGAAGAATCAAGAAAAAACATTGTACGTGTAAGACATCCAACATTATACATGTTACAACTTAATGGAACATTATTTTGATATGATAAACGTCCATCAGCTCCACAACAACGAAATGTTGATTGAAGAATATCTAATGCTCGACTAGCACGTTCATCATTACCTTGTCGATAAGTAATTACTATATTAATAATAATAAAACAAAAATAAAGTAAATTAAATTAAATATTTATTCGTATGAAACTGATTTACCTAATTTTGGTAATTGTTCTTGAAGTGTTAATCTCATTTGAAATTTATTTGTAAATGTTATTATTGATATTGTAAATTCTGCAATAACAACTAATGTAATCATTGCTGATGAAATAAATATAAATACATGTGTTGAATATAAACCCCATGTTAAAATAAGACACATGACTAATGTAATGATTGATGAAGCAAATAAACACATCGATAAATATCGTAATATCCATAAATCCTATTCAATAAAAATCAATGAATAATAAATTTAATTTTGTTTTTTTTTCAATGAAGAACTTACAATAAAACCAACATCAGCAAGATTATATGCTAAAACTTTATAATGATTTTCTACTACTGTCCACAAAGCTAATCCCAATTCTATAAGACCAATAATACATAGTGTTATTAAAGCCAATTTATTGATAAATTTAAACATTGGAATGTTCATTTTTATTTTCTAATGTCAAAGAATTGTTGTATCGAGAGTGTTCAAAGGCCACAACATCGCCTAAAAGAATAAAATGTCAAAAACGAAATGAATTAAAAAAAATATTTTCTTCATCTAATCCGTTTCTTTTTCTCTTCAATTGGTATTCAAATAATTAATTTTCAAAAAGTATAATAAATTTAACATGATTAGAAGATGAAACATTGAAACTCTCAATTTCACTTACAGAAAAACAAACAAACAAACAAACAAATCATGTTCATTGATTTGTCAAGAAACAAAAATCTATTGTCTGTATTTAGTATTATGTAGTTAGAAGAATAAAAAACAAGAGAGAAAGGAAATGAAGAAGTGAGATAGAAAAAAGAATTGATTTTTTTCATGCTGATTATTCAGGAAAAGAAAATTGTTCTACTACAAACAAAATATGATGATTGTCAACAACAGACTAAATTATGATTAACATAATAATATTAAAGACAAGATAACCAAAAAACAAAGCTGACATACTCAATGATTTTGTTCAACATGTTTAATTTTTCTTCTCGTCTTCTTTTTTCTTGTCTCGCTCGCTTAACACATAATGAATAAAATCTCATTGATGAGCTTTATAAAGAAAGAAAAAAAAAACCTGACCCACGCATTTAGGTTTTGCTTTCTATGATATATGAATACATCTGGTCTTAATAAATAAATAATCCTTTTCTGTCTTATCTGAAAAATGATCATCAGAAACAAAAAAAAAAAGATGAACGTAACTAGAACTTCTTAGCGTCATCAATTTGTTTTAACGTTATGTTTAACTCTCTTTGTACTGTAACCGATACAACGCCCATACAGGCCACTCCTATTTGTCTGTTCAACAAACGAAGACAACTGCCTTCCTTTTTTTCTTTCCTTTTATTTATCATGCTCTATTTCCTTATCTCATGGATCAACATAGATTTGTCTATATACAAAAAAAATCATGCGATAAAAATTCGTCGCATCTCTAAGCGCGCCAAACTGACCGTTTGTATTATGCACAAAACCAGACGTTTTTATTTATGTGAATGACATGAAAGAAAAAGATCGTTATTAGTTCTCTTGTTAGGTCAAACGACGCGACAGACACAAGAAAAAAAAAAGAAATATGATTTTTTCATCATGTCCAGACATCATTGTAAGAATAAGTGACCTCAACATACATTGCCAATAATCAAATATCTATTCCGAACAAGAAAGGATTAAATCTCCATTACAGTTATACAAGTTCTAATGCTATATTTTTTGTCAATAATTTTCAATGTCATCCTCTCAATATTCAAAACTTGATATAACCTTGACAAGAAAAATAAATCAAAAACATATTGAGAAATATGATGTCAACTTTTAATGATATGTTACATTAGTTATATTCTTACCGAATAAAACTTCGTACTTGCTACTTGTTAACGGGCAAGAGAATGAGAGTTCAGTGACTAAAATATGCATGCAACGTATACATCTATCGAATCATTATATATATTTGTCTACCTCAAACTTTTTTTTTCTTCATTCATTCATTCATTCGTTCGCGTGTGTTTGTTTGCCCAGTTCTCTCGTTCTTTTCGTTATATACCGACATCCATTCAACAAAACTTATTTGTTCTTTCTGTTTTTTTCCTCTCTTTCAATCTTATAACATAATAGTTCATTCAAAAAATTGTCTAAGAATCTCCTTGTCAACATAATATAAATATGTTTCATTATTTTTTTTATTTATTTATTTCATAATATGGCAATAGATAATCAAGATAATATTTGTTCACGTTGTCATAATCGAACAAAATTTTTAGAAACATTTAAGAAATGTTTCTATTGTTCAACAAAACATTGTAATCAATGTTGGTTAGAATTACAAATATCTGATGAATATAAACTTTTAATTGATTTACTTCCAAAAAAATCTAATATAAATATAAAACGAATATGTTCAACATGTATAAAAATATTATTTCAACAAATATTAGAAAATTCGAAAATAAAAAAACAAGAAAATGATAATGATGATTATCAATTAGCTTTAGCTCTATCATTATCAAAAAATGAAGCCGATGAAAAATTAAAACAAAAAAGAAAATCTCATGAAAATAAAAATAAAAATATTAAAAAAAGAAATCAAATAGAAAAAACAAATATCAATGATAATCATGAAAATTTATTAGAAAAAACTACAGAAGCAATTGAAAGATTTATGAATAGAGCAAAAAGCAATTGTAAGTCAAATTTATTGGGTATAATATTAAATTAATCTAGCAGAAAATTAAAATCAAATTCCATGTTCAATTGATTGTATATGATCTGATATATGTGTGAAATTTATCATATTTTGTTCATCTATTCAACAATATGCATTACTATTCAAGAGGAAATTCATAGTGGAAATCCGTCAGAGAACTATATTTACATTCATATAATAATAATGAATAGAATGAAGTGACTGATCTAATCTTGACAGACTAATTTTGACAATCATTTCTTTTGATGATTATACCCTTAGGTGATTCTTGTTGACGGAACTACAGTTCAGCTGTTTAACATCAAATAGTAATAGAGTAAAGAATACTACAAAATAGTTTTTTATATTAACATGAGAATTGTAACTTTTGTTACAATATAAAATCTTTTCTTTTTCCAACTTAAAAAGCATTCTGAAATATTTATGCTGAAATAATAGCATCGCTATTTTATGGTTAATATGTCATTCTGGCTTCTTAATTGTATAGATTTTACTGCAAGCTTTTATGTCATATAAAAAAATAAATGTCAAAATAGAATATATAAATATTTGAATTCGATATTGAACTGTAATATTTACGAAGAATGATAAAGAAATTTATCCAATGTGAATATCTATCATAGATGCCATTATTAAAGCTAATTCTAACGAAAATGAGGGCACTTTAATAATATCCGTTTTGCACGTAGCTTACCATATACTGTCAATATGTGTCATGTTCATGATAAGAAATATAAGAGAAAATGCGAGTAAAAGGTTTTCACAAAATTTGAATTGACATTCTGTACCAGAGAATTAAAGACGGATGTATGTAATCTTAAGAACTCGGCAACAGTTACCGACTTGAGATTTTCAACAATTCAAAGAAGAGAATGCCAAACTTTTTTCCAATCTGATATTAAATAAGACAAAACTATTTTAAAATCAATCATCCTGACAAAACATTGAAAAGAATGCTTGAAAATTGCTTTTCATTTTGATTCTGACATGTTGTTCAAATAGAGTGACTTCAGTTCTATAGTTCAAAGTACGAATCAGATAATTATCTTCTCAAATCTCAATATTGAACAAACAAATTTGTGTATCTATTTGATTAAATTATATAGGTTTTCTTGAAACAAGATACCGTTTTCATACATTATTTTGAATATTTCGTGAAGATGATAGATTTTAATATAATGTTGTCTTGTATAATATCAGTCAAAAAAACATCCGGAGTTCTCTTCTTTCGATTGCTCAAGTATGTAGATCACCAGCAGTCACTGTTACCGAGTTATTATGATTACACCCACTCAACTTTAATGTTGACATAGATATTAATTTAATACTCTTGTTGATTTTGTTTATAAAATGACATTTTAATTTTTTACTCACTCTTCTTTCGTCTCAAAGTTAGTGCAAGACGAGAGAAATGAATCTATGTTTGCTATTAAAAAAATTCAACATTCATTTATGATGATGTTTCATAGAAATATGAAACTATTCTTAAACATGATCTATCATGAAAAACAATCTCATAATATTCATATACTCATTATATTCCTTTGTTTGTGCATCATCAATTCATTTGAAAACTGAACTTTCAAATATAAAAATTTTGTTTCTTGTTTATTTAATCTTCTTCAGATCATTAACCTATTTTTTCAAGTATACTTATTTCATAATTATTGAATCATTATAGATCAACGTAACCGTGATGTCATAGGAGACACTGCACTACTTTCTGCATTTATATCACTTCAAACATGTGCAACTGATCTTGAAAAGTTAAAATATGATCTAGATCATCAACGTCAACATTTTGAAACACTTCAAGAAAAATTAACTGCATTACGTGATGCTCGGTAAAATACAAAATATAGTAGAAAATAAATCTAAAATTTTTATTCTATTAATTAGTGAAGCATTAAATATTCTTCGCTATGAACATCATCAAAAAAAACGACAAGAACAAGAATATCTTGAACAACAACGTCGTTTAATAATGATGCAAAAAGTTGCTGATCTTCGACAATTTAAACATACACAAATAGCAAATTTTCAAGAAAATTATTTTCAACATTTACTTGATGAAGAACAAAAAATGAAAGAACATTTAAAAAAACAAAAACTATTCAAAGACGAACATTTTAGTTCATAGTGACATCTTTTTTTTTTCTTTCATTCTGCTTACACATCTAGTTGGCTAAGAAATAAATCATACAAAAAAAAAAAAAAAAAAAAATCGTAAACGATCGGATCGGGGCAGCTAGTTATTTTTGTTCTGTAATAAATAAAAATTGCAATGACGGAAATAATTGGTAATAAAATAAAAACAAATATAATCTTCTTATTGTTTTTTTGAATATTAATATATGAATTTTATTTTATTTTTATCGGAAAAGATTTGTCTCAAATACCTGATCATATAAAAGATTATATATCAAAATTACAAAATGAGAATAATCAATATAAAAATGAATTACAATCATTACAAACTCAATTAAATAATTTAACAGCTGTTATAGACTTTGCTGATTCAACTAAAATAGCTGAAATAGCTGATTTAAAACAAAGACATCAACAAGAACTTGAAACAATTAATATACTGCTGGAAGGTTAATTGGAAATAAATATTTGAAGATAAAACGTTTCTTGTTTTTTATATTTTAGAAACAGTTCGTGATCGTGTTGATGATATGCGAGGAAAATATGAAAATGAATTAAATATATTAAGACGTAAATTAGAATTATTACAACA